TGAGCTTCAGCATTTTGCACTCATGATCTGCGACATGCTGCTCCTACGACGAAAGCCTCCAAGCAGCCTTAAGCCCTAAACCCTAGACCCTAAACCCCTAAACGCCTAAACCCCTAGACCCCTAAACCCCGAAACCCCTAAACCCCAAAACCCCTAAACCCCTGAACCCCTGAACCCCTAAACCCCTAAACCCCTAAACCGGTAATCCCTATTAAGGGCTGTTAGTCTAAGAATTAGCTAGCATCTGCCCCTAAACCCCTGAACCCCTGAACCCCTAAACCCCTAAACCCCTAAACCGCTAAACCGGTAATCCCTATTAAGGGCTGTTAGTCTAAGAATTAGTTAGCATCTGCCCCTAAACCCCTAAACCCCTAAACCCCTGGGCCCTAAACCCCTAAACCCCTAAACCGGGCTGTTAGTCTAAGAATTAGTTAGCATCTGCCCCTGAACCCCTAAACCCCTAAACCCCTGGGCCCTAAACCCCTAAACCCCTAAACCGGGCTGTTAGTCTAAGAATTAGTTAGCATCTGCCCCTAAACCCCTAAACCCCTAAACCCCTGGGCCCTAAACCCCTAAACCCCTAAACCGGGCTGTTAGTCTAAGAATTAGTTAGCATCTGCCCCTAAACCCCTAAACCCCTATACCCCTGGGCCCTAAACCCCTAAACCCCTAAACCGGGCTGTTAGTCTAAGAATTAGTTAGCATCTGCCCCTAAACCCCTAAACCCCTAAACCCCTGGGCCCTAAACCCCTAAACCCCTAAACCGGGCTGTTAGTCTAAGAATTAGTTAGCATCTGCCCCTAAACCCCTAAACCCCTAAACCCCTGGGCCCTAAACCCCTAAACCCCTAAACCGGGCTGTTAGTCTAAGAATTAGTTAGCATCTGCCCCTAAACCCCTAAACCCCTATACCCCTGGGCCCTAAACCCCTAAACCCCTAAACCGGGCTGTTAGTCTAAGAATTAGTTAGCATCTGCCCCTAAACCCCTAAACCCCTAAACCCCTGGGCCCTAAACCCCTAAACCCCTAAACCGGGCTGTTAGTCTAAGAATTAGTTAGCATCTGCCCCTAAACCCCTAAACCCCTAAACCCCTGGGCCCTAAACCCCTAAACCCCTAAACCGGGCTGTTAGTCTAAGAATTAGTTAGCATCTGCCCCTTAACCCCTAAACCCCTAAACCCCTGGGCCCTAAACCCCTAAACCCCTAAACCGGGCTGTTAGTCTAAGAATTAGTTAGCATCTGCCCCTAAACCCCTAAACCCCTAAACCCCTGGGCCCTAAACCCCTAAACCCCTAAACCGGGCTGTTAGTCTAAGAATTAGTTAGCATCTGACGCTCCTCGCAGGTTGAGACGTCTGTGCAGAGTCTGGCCAACGATGGCATCAAAGCTATCGCAGGCGTCTCGACAAAGGGTTCACTGAAGGGTTTAGGGTTTAGGGTTTAGGGTTTAGGGTTTAGGGTTTAGGGTTTAGGGTTTAGGGTTTGGGGGCCTAGGGTTAGGGTTTAGGCGGTTACTATATTCCCTAAGGCACAGTAACTTTAACAGCTAACATTAAGTTTGTTGCAAGAAGTTCAAGGTTTGTTGGGCTATAAGTCACGTGGTGGCAACCCTATACGAAAGGACCATGAAACCCTAAAACTGATGCCAGAAGCCGGATAAGAGATCTCATTGGAAAAGGTGTTGATATGAGGGGACCCGAAGCCCTTACTTCATGCATAGACTGGTCACATGCACAGTGCAAGATGATATGAAAGTGGAGTTACATGCGCTGCTTCTGGCAGACTGATGGTTTGGTACGCAATTGGCCCTTGACCAACTAGGGTGTCTGCCGGCAATCGCTCTTGTGCCACCTGCAATGCCATGGATGCTGCATCCACTTCTGCACCGACTTTGAATGGGCCAGAACTACTCCTTGAGTGGGATTGACCCGCTGTGTGTGGTGCCCATGCCCCCAAGCAATGCTAGGATATGTGCCCAGATGTATGGTGGCATGCATGCTGAGATCGGCACGCTTACACGTACACGACTTCTGTCCATCTTCCAAACGGCCTGCTGACTGATGATGGCTTTAACACTTTGTATTATGGGTTCGTGTTCTGTCTCACTTGAGTGCAGGCCAATCTAGACTTTTGCTTGCGGGCGCCTCTTCATGGGAAACGAACCATACGACATTTGTGTTCTTCATCACGAATTCGCTTGGAAACCCTCACGCAGTTAAACTTAACAGCGTCCAAACCCCCTTAACCCTTCAACCCGACAAACCCTCCAAACCCTTTAAAGCTCTAAACAGGGCTTCGGGTTTAAGGCTTGGGTCCAGAGGAGGAAGTTCATGCATGAGTTTAGGTATCCTGCACAGCTGCACCACTTCCGTTCTTCCCGACGAGACCAAGCAAGTAGGCTTACACTATAAGTCCTCAAGCTGTTTAGGGTTTAGGGCTTCGGCAAGGCCCTGAAGCCTGTGGGAACCCTGCCCCTTCTTGAGAGAGGTGCCGGTCGCGACGACAACGCCCACACGGTGATGAAGGAGATAGAAAAGGCGCGCGCGCACGCCTTTCACAAGGTTTAGGGTTTAGGGTTTAGAGCTTAGGGGTTAAGATGTACGGGTTTGGCTTTACCTAAAACAACCCAAGCAAGAAGGTTGCAGCCCAGAAGTATTTAAATGGTTGCTTTAGGTAGAGGATGGAATAATTGGCCAACCGGTTCGAACCTCCTCAAAATCTGGGGGTAAGTGTCCTTTGCAACAAGCCAACCTGATTGGTTGCCCCTATGTTGGAACAGCGACCGCTTCCGTGGCACGGTCCTCGTAACATCGACAAAGGAACGCCAGAATGCGTTCATTTTCCCGTACGCAACGCAGAGCCGGCAGAAGGCTTTCTTCCTCCCCGTGCGAGTGCGCCAAGGAGGTGCCCAGTCTGGATTGCTTGACGCCCTCGGAAGCTTGGGCTGCGTGGAATTCGGAATGAGTCATGTGACTTCTACTTCAGCGCGACTGTCTTTTTTTACAGCGCATCAAGCTTTCGCGTCCACGACTGCTTCTGACTTGCTGGTACTCTAGCATGTGTGCCTCGTGTCGCTTGGGACATCCGCAACATCTCGACGACCTCTGCCCACGCCTCAAAAACCTGAAGCGCTTGAACCTCAAAGCACTATACCCTAACACACTGAAACTCTGAAGCCCTGAAAATCTTAAACCCAAGCCGTACAGCCTGACACCCTAAAGCCCTTAAGCCAAAACAAACCTTAAGCCCGAACACCCTGAGCCAAACACCCTCTCCCCGCTCTCCCCCCCCTCCCCTCCCCCCCTCCCCTCCCCCCCTCCCCCCCCGCCCCCCCCCTTTTCTCCCTTCTCCCCCTTCTCTCCCCCCTTCTCCCCCTTCTCCCCCTTCTTCCCCCTTCTCCCCCCCTTTCTCCCCCTTCTGCCCCCCCTTCTCCCCCCTCCCCCCTTCTCCCCCCTTCTCCCCCCTTCTCCCCCCTTCTCCCCCCTTCTCCCCCCCCCCCTTCTCCCCCCTTCCCCCCACACCTAAAGGCGCTCAGCGCGGGCCCCGCTGATGCCGCCGGGGCTCAGGCTGCCTTTTGGTTCTCAGGGCTGGGTGGGGGTGTGGGCGTGTGTTCGTGCTGAGGCCTCGGTTTTTTGGTTTAGGGTTTAGGGTTTAGGGGTCTGTTCTGAGTCAAAATAGGGTTAAGGTTGTAGAAGGGGTCTCTTGAAAGCAGGGCTCAGAATTGGGCGGAGGGTGTTCAAGAGCAGCACCCGTATTCCCCTGTCTTGTATGTGAAGTCGAATCTTCATTTGACTAGGACCCAGAGTAGGCCAAACTAAGAAGGGTCATCCGTTTTTTCCCTAAACCCTAAACCCTAAACCCTAAACCCTAAACCCTAAACCCTAAACCCTAAACCCTAAACCGGGTTACTCTTGGGTCTAGAGAGACAGCCTGTTTGTCAGGTTACTGGGGAACCCGGGAATCGAATCCCTGAACCTCAGGCCTAAAACACCTTTCTCTTCACGCCCTTGTTTCCGCGATTGTCCCTAAACCCTAAACCTTAAACTCTAAACACGAAACCCTGTACCCTAAACCCTGAACCCTAAACCCTCAACCCTAAACCCTGAATCCTGAACCCTGAACCCTGCACCCTAGCCGGTTTCTGCTTGATGGCTCCAGACTCGAAGCTGATTGGTAGCCCCGTGGCTGCCCTTTTTGCGCGTTTGGGATTCCAGGCTCCCTTCTCAAAGTAACCCACCCCGAAAAAGGGTACGGTACCCGTAGTATATGAAGGGTTTTGGGTTTAGGGTTCAGGGTTTAGGGTTTAGGGTTTAAACATTGTGAGTACATGTAACCACCCCCAAAAGGGTTCGGTACCCGTAGTATGTAATATTAAGGCGGTTTACGGTTTAGGGCTTAAGGTTATGATGTAAGTACTGCCAAAACTAGGTTGGCCTTTGGGACATTTACATTGACATTTTTCCTGATGTGGGTTTATGAGGGGGTCTGGGCTACCAAGCAAAACGGCTACCTTACTTGTATCCCTGCAAAGTGCTCACACGAACCTTTGAATGAATTTAATTAAGCTTGTCCAAAAACCCGAAGACCCAAACTCGAAAGCCTGAGCCCTGAACCCTGCACCCTGAACTCCTAACGGCCCAAACTCTAAACCCCGAAGCCCCAACTCCCGAAATCCCAAGTATCCGGCTTGAGCTTGGTAGCGCAGAAGCCCTACATCCCTCAGGTTGGGTCTAGGGTTTAGGGTTCTAGGGTTTAGGGTTGAGGGCTTCAGGAGTACCCTACGCTTTAAAACAACAAACCTAACCAAACTCCCCACGAGCATCTTCTTGAGCCCATGGTTGAGGGCTTCAGGAGTACCCTGCGATTCAAAGAAGCCAACCTCACAAAACTCCCCACGAGCATCTTCTTGAGCCCATGGCTTAGGGCTTAGGGCTTAGGGCTTAGGGCCTAGGGTTTAGGGTTTGCCTCACAAAACTCCCCCACGAGCATCTTCTGGAGCCCATGGCCGATGCGGCGCAGATCGCAAAGCTCGGTCTCTTCGTCAGCGCGGACTACATGGGCACATCCATGACCGGAGGGTTTGGGAGTGTAGGGTTTAGGGTTTAGGGTTTGGGGTTTGGGGTTTAGGGTTTAGGGTTTAGGGTTTAGGGTTAGGGTTTCGGGTTTAGGTTTTAGAGTTTAGGGGTTTAGGGTTTAGGGTTTAGGGTTTAGGGTTTAGGGTTTGAGTATTTAGGTTTCGGGGTTGGGGGTTGGGGGTTCAGGGATTTAAGGGTTCAGGGGTCTCGGGTTAGGTGCTTAGGGGTTCAAGGATCTAGAGGTCTCGGGGTTTAGTTTAGTATTGTGGAGGGCGGGGCGAATTTATAGGGTTGAGAGGAAGAAGAGTTCAGGGTTACAGGGTTTGAAGGGTTTAGGGTTTAGGGTTTAGGGTTTAGGGTTTAGGGTTTAGGGTTTAGGGTTTAGGGTCTAGGCCAAACCCCAAACCCCACCCGCGCCAGAATTTGTGAGGATGCGGAGCCTCCTTCCACAGCTCTTGGTCGGCTCGTCTGCCTCCGCCGTGGGCAGCCTCGAGTCGTGGTATGGCCTGGGCAACTCGGGCGTGATTTTTAATGATGTGGTGGTTTAGGGTTTAGGGTTTAGGGTTTAGGGTTTAGGGTTTAGGGTTTAGGGTTTAGGTGTTAGGGGAAATTTACGGCCGAAGGGATCTCAACATGCTAGACCCCGAACCTCTAAACCAACAACCCAAAAGCCTGAACCCTAGACCCTCGACCCTTCTAATCCTACACCCTAATCCCTAAACCCTCTACCCTAACCCTAAACCCTGTTAGCCCTAAAATCCGACAACGCCGAGGTCAGACTCTTGGAAGCCTTTCCCTTCCCTACCTCAGCGACGTGCTGGGGCGGCGCCATGGCCAAACGTCGCATAGGGTTTATGGTTCAGGGTTTAGGGTTAAGGGTTTGGGGTTTGGGGTTGGGGGTTGTGGGGGTTTGGGGTCTGGGTCTACTTGGAGGTTCATGGGTAGTTATAAGGTTTTGGGTTCAGGCTGTAGGGTTTAGGGCTACTTGAAGGTTTCATGGGTAGTTACTCTAAGTACCCTAAACAAGGTGATAACTGGAGTTATCGTACAAAAAGCCCAAGTTTCTGGTTTGGGGCCCTAAGCCCTAAACCCTAAACCCTAAACCCTAAACCCTAAACCCTAAACCTTAAACCCTGTTTGGCTTTAGGGGTTAGGTGCCCTTAGGTGTTGGCAGAGTTGCGAACATCCTGAACCCGCAAAGTCCTGAAGCTCTCAAAGCCTCCCATCTCTGTAACTCCCCTAAAGCCAATTTTAGGGCTTAGGGTTTAGGGTTTAGGGTTTAGGGATATTACGTTTTGGATCCCGAAAAAGCTAATTATCACCACACGGGCACCCCCGTGTTTGTCCCTCCTGGGACCCTTAACTGTACCAATTAGAGCTAAGTGGTGCAGCCAGCATAGTGCTTGTAACCAGGGAACCTGTTTCGAAACCCTCAAAGCCGCAAAGCCTAAAAACTCGAAGCCCCAAACCCCACAAACCTTAAAGAGGAACCCGAAACTAACCCACCCTAGCTCCCCCTAAATCCTCCCGGTCCTTGTAGGCTACTGGGAAACCCTAAACCCTAAACCCTAAACCCTAAACCCTAAACCCTAAACCCTAAACCCTAAACCGTGTGGCTAGGCGGCGTGTGCTTCAGCTTTCTTGCCTGGGCACATCTGCAGGCTATGGCTTGCACCTCGGCGGTCAACCTACCGGCTCTTAGTAGGGAAGAAAGGAAAATTAGGTCCCTTATGTCCCGCCCTCTCTATACATAAAGACCCTTCGAGTGTTTCTACAGGGTACCTGATTCCTTCATTCCCCAATAGGTCCCTAAACCCTAAACCCTAAACCCTAAACCCTAAACCCTAAACCCTAAACCCTAAACCCTAAACCCTAAACCCTAAACCCTAAACCTAAATGAACCGCAAAGCCCTTCAAAGAGGCCCCTAACAAAAGCCCTTCAAAGCAGCTTTGGGGCCACAAGGTCCGCCCTCGCAGTCGCTTCGGGAGAGCCGGGGTCGCTCGTCTTGGTCGGCCGGGTGGCTTGGTAGCCCAGTGGCACCCCTTGGGGGTTTAGGGTTTGGGGTTTAGTTTAGGGCTTAGGGTTTAGGGTTTAGGGTTTAGGGTTTAGGGTTTAGGGTTTAGGGTATAGGGTTTAGGGTTTAGGGTTTAGGGTTTAGGGTTTAGGGTTTAGGGTTTGGAGTGGCCTCTTGGTGTCCTTTTGCCTTTTTGTTTTTTTTCAAGGTTCCCTTACAAAGTAGCCAACGACAAAAGGTGCACCAAAAACCTACGCCGTAAACCATAACACCCTTAACCCTAAACCCGAATCCACAAGCCCTAACCCTAAACCCTATAAACCCTATGAACCCTAAAAACCCTCTAAACCCTATAACCCCTAAACCCTCATCATCAGATGTTTCCTGGCCAAGGTGGTGGCCGGGCTCACGAAGCAGACCCTGACAATGGCCCGGGCCATGATTGGGGACATGTACGGCCAGGAGACGCTGGTTTGGGGTTTAGGGTTTGGGGTTTGGGGTTTAGGGTTTAGGGTTAGGGTTGGGGAAGGTGTTTGTGGTTGAAAGGGTTTACTTGGAGGTTTCATGGGTGGCCGTGCCTGGGCCCCAACTGCCTTTGTGCTATCTCAACATTGCCGGGATGCTCGGTATGTGTGGAGAATCGAAGAGAACTTGGGGGAAACACGGTAACCCTAAGTCCTAAGCCATAAACACTAGAATAAACAAAATTAGGGATAGGCCTGCAAGGAGCTTAAGTCAGCTAAAGCGCCAGCAACACTTGACCTGACCCTGAGGGTCCCCTAGCCGACAGTTGTGTCCTTTATTGTGTTTTGATTTTAGGGTTTAGGGATGGGGCCTAGGGTTCTCTAAACCCAAAAATCCTAGACCCAAAATCCCAAACCCCAAACCCTCAACCCCAAACCCCAAGCCCTCTCAGATGGAAGCCATGATGGTGCTCAGGAGTCGCGTCAGTCCAGCATGGCTCTTCTGATGCTCGTTTGCCTTAGGCAGGGTTAGGGATTTTGGGTTTTGCATTTAGGGTTTAGGGCTTAGGGTTTACGGTTTAGGGTTTAAAGGGTTTGGGGTTTAGAGGTTAGGGATTAGGGTCTCTGTTATTGGTGTGTGTATTTAGGGTTCCTCGTAAGGTCTAGAATGAAATGTGCCCTACTGTAGTTCTTAAGAGCAGTTTCAGGAGGGGAGTTCTTAGGTAGGGGGTACCTTGCGTGAGTCTTTTAAGGTTTAGGGTTTCAGAGGTTTAGGATTTTTGGACTTCAGGCTTTTGGGGTTTCAGGATTTTCGGGTTTTCAGGGTTGGGGCTTCAGGGTGGTCACTACTATTGTAGAAAGGGCTGCCCCTACTATTTTCAGGGAAGTATCCTTACGGCCACTACGATTATAAGGCGGCCCCTGCTATTTAGGGTGCCCAAAAAGGGACCATACTTTTGAGAACCGACCATGTAGATGCCCAAAGCAAGGCTTCTATTGCCGTATGCATCGTTTTCCAGAGTTGAGAAGGTTTTCGTGGGCTTTGGGAGCCTTAGCCCTAAACCCTAAACCTTTGCTTCGAGGTGTGGGGCTTTGAGCAGAAGCATCCTCGAAGAGTGGTTCGATGTTGTCGAGATTCGTTTCTTTGGGGGCTCTTTCAGTCTTAGGGCCCCCAAAGCCTGTGCAAACTCTGCAGCCTTAAACCCTAAACCTAGCAGCAAGGACGCTCTTTTCCTGCTCTGGCTACCTTCTGGGCCCTTTGATCGGCGGCTGGCTTGCGGATTCCGCGGGCGTGACGCTGGCCTTGAACTTGGTCAGTTCTCGACATATGGCGCCCTCAAGAATCCCAAGCCCATTTGGAGGTTCCTACAAACGCCCAAGTGTTTTTTTCTGGCCTGAGGGTATCAGGGTTTAGGGGTCAACACCTTCTGCGCCACACCCTAAACAACCCCTAAACCCTAAACCCTAAACCCTAAACCCTAAACCCTAAACCCTAAACCCTAAACCCTAAACCCTAACCCCTAAACCCTAAACCCTAGCCCTAAACCCTAAACCCTAAACCCTAAACCCTAAACCCTAAACCCTAAACCTCTCAGGATGGCGCCTTTGCGCTGCGTCTCCGCGCTGTTTCTGCTCCTCTTCCTCCTCTGCCGGGCACTGCCGGAGACGGCGCCCGCGCTGCAGCGCGAGGCGCCGGCCGGCACCAGCGACTGGGCCACGCTCCCCGGCCGAGACTCAAGGGGCGGTTTAGGGTTTAGGGTTTGGGGGTAGGGTTTAGGGTTTAGGGTTTAGGGTTTAGGGCTTAGGGCTTAGGGTTCAGGGTTCAGGGTTTAGGGTTTAGGGTTTAGGGTTTAGGGCCATCGATGCCCGTAAGCAACCTAAACCTAAGCCCTGAAGGGTTTAGGCTTTACCCTTGTTCACAACTGCAGGCTGCGGCAGCCTGGATCCTGGCGCGTCGTCGCGGTCGTCGCGCTTCAGGACCTCTCGGCTCAGGTTTAGGGTTTACTATTTAGTTTAGGTTTAGGGTTTATAGGGTTTAGTTTAGGTTTAGGGTTTAGGGTTTATAGGGTTGAGGTTTAGGGTGTGCACTTTCAGCAAGAGTCCTTAGAGCCTTAGGGGTACTAATGACCCTAGCACTTGGGATACTAGCAGTCCTTTTTGGGTTATAGTAGGGGGTACTAGAATCCCTATGAAGGACTGTTAGTATAAGGGGGAGCATCCCAACCTACAACAGGAGTTCGTGCTGACTGGCTGGACCTCCGTTTCGCGCCCCCGCATCATTAAGAAGCGCCTCCCTGGCCGCTTGGAGATGGACATTGATCCTTGTTTACGGACTGTTAGTACAAGGGGCACATCCCAAGTTTCAGGATTTAGGGTTTAGGCGAGAAAATGTTGAGCGTTTAGGGTTCTAGGAGTTAGAGCTTAGGGTTCAGGGGGGTGGGGGGTGGGGGGTTGGGGGTTAGGCGCCTTCGGGAACTCTCAAGGCAAGGTCCGGACATGGAACACAGGGCGTTTGGGGTTTCGGCTTTGGGGTTAGGGTTTAGGGGGCTTAGGGTAGTGTTTAGGGGGTTTAGGGATTAGCAGTTTGTGGGTCAGGGGTTTGTAGGGTTTGAGGTTAGGCACCTACGGATCATGATCTAATTGCACTCAGAGGTCAATACCCCTTAGTTAAGGCCACAATCTGAAGCTGCAAAGGAGTCGCTCTGATTGAGGCATGTGCCTTGCTTCAGGGGTACTAGGCTCGATCTTTGTGTACGGGCTGAGTGCAAGAGACTTGCTTGCAGGATAGTATATCCGAAATCCTAAACCCTAATTCTCTGGTTTCCCGGCAAGGTTATAATCCCTCAACTAGTTGACTCCTAGCGCCGCTTGTGGCTTTGAAGCTTGGTTCAGTGCACTGTAGCCAGACGTGCATATATATATATACACACACACGCATACACTAGAAACCTGAACCCTGAAAACTCCGTAACCCACTGTAGGCCACGTAGGCTTAAAGTTGGAGTTTGTCAGGGCCGCTTCATCTTAGCAGTTGACCCTCAACCCACCCCAACAAGGGGCTCATCATTTAGAGAAGCCCCGTGTATATAACGAGAATACTCCATAAGGGCCAGTCGTCCCCTCATTCCATTCGAGCCCCTGAACCCTCGAGACTTGCTGACTTGAAACCCTAACCCCTAAACTGTAAACCCAAAACCCTAAACTGTAAGCCCTTAGCCCTAAACCCTAAACCCTGCACCCCAAACCCTAAACCCTAAACCCCCAACCTAAGGGTGCCCAAAACCCTAAACCCGAAGCCCCAAGCCCCAAATCTTAAACCCAAACCTTAAACCCCCAACCTGAGGGTGCCGGCTTGGAATATCGAAGCCTTAGCTACGGGTGGATTTCTGCGGCCTCGGGTTTTGCCTTTGGGGTACTACAGGGTTCGGGGTTTGTTGGACCATAAAGCTCCTAAACCCTAAACCGTAAACCCTAAACCCTAAACCCTAGACCCTAAACCGCCTTGGAGATCGTCAGAGGCGGCTTTAGCTCAACTGCTCGCTACGACACCTGGCTGATTCTCTGCGTCATGCTGGCCTCTGGGATTTGGAGGACCTTTCCAGGCGCGAAGGGGTGGGTTTAGGGTTTTTGGGCTTAGGGTTTAGGGTTTAGGGTTTCGGGTTTCGGGTTTCACAAGTTGGTTTTTGTAGTTGTTCATAGACGGAACAACAGGGTCTTCTTCGGTTCCTGCAAGGTCTCAGGGTAGGTTTGGGAGCCCTGTAGAAGTTATTCTTTACGACTTGACAAGGATTATTTAGGGGATTGGGGGTAAAACCATTAAAAAAAAACATGTGTTCAAACCCATCCCTTGGGATGTTCCCCCTTATACTGACAGTCCTGAATAGGGACTATAGTACCCCCTTGTAATAATCCCTGTTAAGGAACTGTTAGTAGAAAGGGGAACATCCCAACCTAAATACTCCGGTTAATCGCTTCGGTTCAGGGTCTCAGGGTTTGGGGTTGAGGGGCTTCTGACCAGCGGTGGTTTGAGGCTTGTGGAAATGGCATGCCGCATCTAACCCCTAAACCAACCCAAACCCTAAGCTGGCTCAAGGGTCTAGGGTTCCTGGTGCCAGCCATGGCGCCCTCTCCCGGCACTCCTTTGGGTGGGGAACGATCGTATGCGTCCATATCAGCAGCCTCGGCAGAGGCACGAGCTTCCCCGCTGGACTGTGCAGTGGAGCCGATGCAAGTTGATGATGCAGGACAGGGGTCCAACTCTGCTCCGGGGGATGGTCCTCCTTACCGTTGTCCCGTACCTGGATGCCGAGCGGCTGATGCTGCACATCATGCGGGGTGGCAATCCTTCAACAGCCTCCGCTCTCATGTTGATGCTCATCTTCTTGGGCAACTGCCTGGCCTTCCCCCCGACTCGTGGATGCAGACCCGTGGCCTCCAGCCTTGCCGCGGCTGCACGCGGTTGGTGAGCCGCCGCTGCAATGGTGGCATGCATCGCTCCTGTCTGGCGCAACGCGCCGCTGCTCTTCCTTCTCCTGATGCTGATGTCACTCTGCCAGAAGGGCTCCAAGACCTCCCCACTTTCGATGAGATATGCCTGGCCCCCATCAATACCCGTGAGTTTGTGGGCTCGGGCCTCCTCGCCAAGGCTGAGCGCGCTTTCCTCGCTTGCTTGGCCAACATCCTCGCTCATGACATGCCGGATGCGTGGGATTATGTTGGCACTGCCCAGGACACTCCTTCACGCCAGCACTGCCGCAAGGCCTGGACTGAGTTGCGGATGTTCCCGAAAACATGCTTGGCTGTCCTTCCTGGAGGCTCCGCCAAGGCACGTCGTAATGGCAATGTCCTATCCAACCGGCTGGACCGCTGGCTTCTGGGCGAACGTGCTGCTCTTTGGTGCGAAGCTCTTCGGGGGGCAAGCCAAGACAGGACCTCTGGGCGCCTGTCTGCGAGTGATATCAGTCGGCGCCAGGAGCAGGCCATAAGCCTGGCTCGGCGGGGCCTTCCCAGCCAGGCCGTTCAACGCCTCACCGGGGCTAAGGTTGCTCCGGACACGCCTGTCGTCGAGAAGGTGATGCGCTCCAAGTTCATCACTCCTCTGCCCCACCAGGCGACCTCTACCCGCCCTCCAGGGCCGGCTGCCAATGAGCTGTCTGAGGAGCAGATACTTAAGGCGATCCGCTCTTTCAAGCGTGGGGCTGCTCCGGGTCCTAGTGGCCTTCGTCCTGATTTCCTGCGTCAGATTGTTGGGGATGCCGGCGCCAGCAAGCCCGGCCTAGCCCTGATTGCTTCCTTCGCCAACTTGCTCGCTGATGGCCGTGCCCCACTCCCTCTTCAAGCCTACCTTGCTGGGGCGCGTGGCACTGCTCTGGAGAAGACCAGCAAATCTGGTGGGCAGGATGCTCGGCCCATTTGCTCAGGTGAGGCCTTCCGCCGTGTTGTTGGCAAAGCCCTCCTCGCCACTGAAATCGACACTTTGAGGGAGCACCTCTTGCCTTTTCAGTTCGCTGTCGGTGTCCCTGCTGGCGTTGAGGTGCTTCCTCACGTCGCTCGCATGTGGCGCGAGGACTTTGGCGGTGATGGCAATCGGGTATTGCTCGCTTTTGACGAGGGAAATGCTCACAACGAGGTTGATCGTCACACCTTCCTCACCCGCATGCGTGAAGTCTGCCCTGGTTTGAGCCGGTGGCTGGAGTACATTTACCCCACCTCTTCTGCAACCCATGTTTACTATCGGGGATGCGTCATCCCATCAGTTGCTGGAGGTCAGCAGGGCTGTCCGCTGATGATGGCTTGCCATGCCGTAGTACAGAGGTTGCTGTGGGAGGCTGTCGGACTCGTGCCTCCCCTTCAGGGCTCCGCCATTCAGGTTCCTGCTCTTGCGCCGCCGGCCCAACTTGATGCTGCGCCCACCTTCGCTGATGACGGCTTCTTGGCTGGTCCCTCCGAGGAAGTCCTGCGCTGCCTTAAGCATCTCCAAGCCATCATGCCCTCATTCGGCCTACGTTTTTCTAGCTTGGTTGTGGCGCCTGCTGCCGGGTTGCGGTCGCGTATTGACTGGCAGCCCTACGTTGACGCTGGTTGTCTTGTTGCTGCCGACGGCGGCGTCGAGATCCTCAAGTCTCCCATTGGCCCCCTGCCATGGTGCATTGACTTCGCTGGTGCCATTGCCAAGAAGCAAGGTGCGATTGCTCATGCCATTGGTGAGCTTCCTGATGCGCAAGTTGGTTGCTACCTGCTACGTCATTGCTGCACAGCTTCCCGCATGAACCACCTTTCTCGCACCACGCCTGCGGGGCTTTGTAGCGGTGCTGCTGTTGCCTTTGATGCTGCTGTGCACGCCGCCGTGTCACGGTTGACCGGCTTTTGCCTCGACGCATCGCAGTGGGAGCAGGCCGGCTTCAAGGTTAATGAGGGTGGCCTAGGTCTGCGACCTGCTGTTGCTGCCGCTGATGCTGCCTACATCGGTTCTCGCTCTGGCACCCATGAACGCTGTGTTGCTTTGCGGGTTGGTCACCGTTGGGATGGTCACATTCCTGGGAGTTGGATTGATGAGGCTGCTTCGCGCTGCAACGTTATCCTCGCCAATGCTGCAGTTCCCCATCGCCTGGACTGTAGCGCTGCTGATGCCACTCGCACGCAGGCGCGGGTTAGCGAGCACGTTGATGCTGCCCGCGTCTGCTTGTGGGAACAGTCCGTGTCAGCAGACGCCAAATGCCGCCGACGGGCCTATGCTGGACATGTTGCGGGAAGGGTGCTGCTTGCCACTCCTTCGAAGACACTTGACAAACACCTCACCAACGCTGAGTTCGACCTTGAGGTTGCGCTCCGCCTGGGAGTCGATGTCTTCGAAGGCGGCTTGCCCTGCCCTTTCTGTGGCATTCAGCTCGACACCTGTGGGCGCCACGCGCTTTCTTGCATGTCAGGTGGTGACACGGTTCTGCTACACAACAGCATTCGTGATCTCGTCTATGATTTTTGCCGACGTGGACGGCTCAGACCTCAGCTTGAGGCAGGTGGGCTTCTCCGAGATCCGTCCGGCAACGATGCCCTCAGAAGACCTGCCGACGTTCTTCTTTGTTCGTCATCCTGCCTGCGCGCCTCTCTTCCCGACGGCGCTTGCATGCCCGGCTCGCAGCGAGTTGCTCTTGATTTCGCTGTCATCAATGCGCTTGGTTCTAGTCACTGGCAGACCTCTTGTCGTGAGATTGGTGGTGCTGCAGCTGCATACGCTCAAAAGAAGCGTCGCCACCTTGACACGGCTGCCCACTGTCAAGCCGAAGGCATTTCGTTTCAGCCCGTCGTCTTCACCTCTCAAGGCACCATGACCAAGGAAGCATCATCCATCCTCCGCGGGATTGCTGAGGCCATCTCTGTTGCCGAAGGGGGCTGCCCTGCCCAGCTCTGTGAGGAGATTTTCGAGCGCGTTGCCATTCTCATTGCCCAAGCCAACAGCCGTGCTGTCACTCGGCGCCTGCAGCCCCGTGACGCGGGTGTATCCGCAGCCAGCGCAGCTTTGGCTGCCCACGCCGTCCTTAGTGAGCCCATGGACGTTTGCTGAGTGACCAACTGGTGCATCTGACCTAGGTCTCTCCGATGGTAATTTGCTGGCGTTGGTTGTCCACCGATGGTAATTTGCTGGCGTTGGTTGTCCAGGGTTTCTGTGCTTAGTGGCCAGATTCTCTGTCAATCTTGCCCATTTTGCTGGCCTTGTTGCCCTCTGCAGCAAGTGCCGCCTCTGTATGCCACACTACCCTCACCGGTAGGAGTGCTGTGTGTGTTCTTGTTTTGGCGCCGCCCTCAGAAGTAGGTGTGTTTTAGCCATAGGAATCCGAAAGGTTGTGGTCATCGCTCTCCGTAAATACACGTCGGGCCCTTGCACCTTGCAACAGGGCCCGGCTCGGCATTGATCGAGGCACAAGCCAAAATTCCTAAACCCTAAACTCAAGACCCTGAACCCTAGGTGGCTGCTTGCACTGCGTCGATGACTCCCATCACCACCAAGTTGGTCAATAGCGCTGGGTGAGCGATACGAGCTTCAAGTTGGACATCGTGTTGTCAGACCAGACCGGCTGTGTGTCAGCAACGTTTTGGCGCACGAGTTTTGCCATCTTGAATATGACGGTGGCGCAATTGCAGAGTTTGTGGGAGCGCTGCTCAAAACACCCTACATGCCGAACCTCTAATTATAACCACCAAGCCCTAAACACCCTAAACCCTGCTCAAGTCCAAACGCCCCGTGAATTCTAAACCCCAAACCCGAAAAAGCCCACACCCCAAAACCCGCAACCCCATAAGCCCTAGAAATCCCAAACCCTAGATACCCCAACCCCCAACAAAACCCTAAACCCACAACCCTAAACCCTACAAACCCAAAGCCTAAACCCAAAAACCCCTAAACCCTAAAAACCCTAAACCCTAAACCCAAAGCCTAAACCCTAAACCATCCTTCAGCCAGGTATCGACACAGGCCAGGCCAACCCTAAAAACTGCAAACACTAAAACCCCCCCAAGCCCCGAAGACCCGAATATTCCTAAACCCTATTTAAGAATAAAGAACCAAAAACTAAGAACCCTAAACCCCAAAGCTTAATATACAAGAAAATAAAACAAAGAGCAAATAACCTGAAGAAGCTGAAGCCGTAAACCCCAAATCCTAAACCCTAAACCCTAAACCCTGAACCCTAAACCCCCCTTAAGCCAGGCATCGACACAGGCCATGCCATGATGGTCGGCATCGCATTCTTCGCACTGGGCCTTGGGATGCTTTGCACCCCGGGCAGATTTAGGGTTTAGGGTTTAGGATTTCGGGTTTAGGGTTTGGGGTTTGGGGTTTAAGGTTTAGGGTTTAGGGTTTGGTGCTTGGGGTTTGAGGTTCAGGGTTTAGTTCGCAGGGTTTCGGGTTTGGGGGCCGAGGACTGGCTTTAGGGTTTAGGGCAGGGCGGTTAGGGCGTTTAGGCTTTAGAGTTTTGCAGTTTTGGGGATCCGGGTTTATACTTTGAGGGTTGAGGCTAGAGCTGCCAAAAGCATCTGTACCTGACTGCCCCTACAGCTTCTCTTAGTGGACCCCCCTCCGGTTATAAGCAAAGGCGGATTTACGATATTCGCGTTACTTATTGGGGTCCTCAGTATCAGGGCATCCTACTAATGGGGGGGCCTTATATCGTAAACCCCCATACCTGACTGTCATGTAGGTGAAGAAGAGTTGCACCGCAAACCCTCAGCCACACTCTGGCGAGGCTGGTCCACGGACGCTGGCTGCCTGTTTGCGTCGGCGGCCGTTATCGGGGTTGGCATCAGTGCGACGAGGACTTGTCAAAAAGCGGTCCTATAAATACTAGGGCCGGTTATCGATAGGAGGTGGCCTGACTCAGAACAACACCAGTCTGGCTTTGCAAAGTGTAACTAACGTCAACCCCGAACCCCCAAACCCTAAACCCTAAACTGTTCACTTCAGCCCTACACCTCAAATCCTAAACCACACCCGACACTCGGCAGACACCGGAACTTTGAATCTCTGGACTATCCAAAGCCAACCCCATCATATGGGGGGTCGGAATACTTAAAACACCCTATTCTAAGCCTCTGCGTAATAGCTTAAAGTCACGTTGGACGTTGGACCCAACCTCCACAATATAGGCCTATGTCGGAGATATGACTGCAAGCAGGGGCCCCCTTGCTCCAACAACCGCACTTGGAGGTTCACGGACAGCTGCTTAGGGTTTACGTTCCCTGATAAGCCCTTCAAAACAACAGGGCGCCCTTTTCATTCCTAGGTTACTCTTGGGTCCAGTAGAAGTAGGTAAACCCTAAAACCCTCAACCCTACATTCGGCCGGAAACCAGTTGATAAGTTTAGCTGCCCCTACTTCTAACCCCACTTATGAACAACCCATGAACCTCCCGGGTACCCTAGGACTTTTGGGTTTAGGGTTTAGAGTTTAGGGTTTACATAGGGTTTGGGGTTTAGGGGTTGAACCCCAACCCAAAAGTGTCATCCCCAACCCCTCGAGGACGCTTCCCGCCACGCTGCTCCTGAAGCTGGCGCCAGACCTGACTCTTGGCCGTGTTGGCTCCGGATCTGGGTTTCAAAGGGTTTAGGGTTTAGGGTTTATGGTTTAGGGTTTAGGGTTTAGGGTTTAGGGTTTTAGGGAACCCTAAAGCCTAAACCTTATAGGGCTGAGGGTTTCGAGCTACTGGGTTGGAGTTGTCTTCTAAGAACCACATACCCCAAACCCATGCCCCTAAACCTCTGCAGGAGGATGTAAGGAAGGATTTTACCATGCGCCGCATGCCCAAGGGGGTAAGTTGAATATTTCTTGGATCCCTGAACCCTGAGCCCTCGAGGCCTCTAGAAAAGCCAAACCCTAAACCCTAAACCTTAAACCCTAAACCCTAAAGTCTAGCCGGCGAAGCCCGAACACCCCTCAAGCCTACACTTCCAGGCCCCGAAGCCTCAACTTAGGGTTCAGGATCTATAGGGCTTAGGTCAAGCAGGGTGTTTAGGGTACACCCTAAACACGAAGCCCTAAACCCCAAACCGCAAACCCTTTACCCTACACCCTACACCCCATACCCTAAACCCTGAACCCTGAATCCTACACCCTAAACCCCAAACCCGAAACCCTAAACCCTAAACCCACCGTTAAAGGAAGCGCGGTGCCGTCATGGGCATGCTGGACCTGGTCGGGGCCTCACGCTCGGGGATTTGGGGTTTAGGGTTAGGGTTTAGGGTTTAGGGTTTAGGGTTTAGGGTTTAGGGTTTAGGGTTTAGGGTTTCGGGATACTTGGTAGCCCAGTATGGGGCATTTGCCCTGTTTTGTTCTTGTTCCTTGTAAGAGCAAGTAGCATTGAAAAGGGGTTCCCTTATGATCAGACGGTTGCTGGGCTAGCTCGAGGGTCTACTTGAAGGTTCATGGGTAGCGATAAGTAGGGTTATAAGTACCCTGAAGAGTAGGTTATAACCATAAGTACTAGTTACCCTACTTATAACCCCAGACCCCAATGCCCTAAAGACTAAAAAGCCCTAAAGCCCTAAACCCTAAAGCCCTAACCGTTAAGCATTTAAATCCCACTTAGAACGACCCCTGAACCTCTTAGGGGCTTTCCAGGGTTCAGGTTTTTAGGGCTTAACTTAATAACCCTAAACCCAAAAACACTAAACCCCTGAACCCGAAGCCCTAAACCCTAAGCCCTGCACAAGGTAGGCGTAAGATTCCTCAATTCATAGGGCTACTTCTAAACACTGGTGAGTGTGTACATGGGGTGTCTTTCGGGTTCTATAACCCCTAAACCCTAGCCCTAAACCCCAAACCCTAAAAGCCCTAAACCCTAAAAGCCCTAAACCCTAAACCCTCTCTTCCTGTCGGCATCGGTGCGCTTAAACAGGTGGGCGCCTGCTGCCGGGTGGCGGCGCCGCTGCTGACTGGGCGCATCATCGACAACTTCGACGACACGGCGCGGCAATCTGAAACTCGCCCTAAACCCTAAACCCTAAACCCACAACCCTAAACCCAAACCTTAAACCCACATCCCTAATCCCTAAAACCTAGACCCTTATTTGAAGTACCATTATCAGGGTTATCATGATAGTTCCCTACTTTTTAAAACCCTAAACCCTAACCCTGCTTATAAGTAGGGTCTAGGGCGGCCCTCGCAAAACGTTCTCAATTTTTAAAAGGCCTAAATGTGAAAGAACCCCTAAAACTGCTTGGCTAGAACGGACATTTCTCCGCCAGGGCCCGAGCAGTGGTGGCCCAGCTCCCATCTCAACCTTTACCTGTCGGACTACTATCGAATCCCATTAGCCAACAGCTCTCAGCTGAGATGTCTGGCAGACCTCATCGGTGGTTGCCATCTGGTGAGCAGTGCTCCGCCCCACTTTATCCGAAGAGTTCCAGATCGCCGCCTTCGCCCTGCATAAGAAACTCAACATTAGTGCGCGGAAGTCCACACACCCTACTTATAAGCAGGATTTAGGTTTTAGGTTTTAGGGTTTAGGGTGTATGAGGTTTAGGGTTTAGTGTTTAGTGTTTAGGGCTACTTGAACACTGATAAGAATTGATGCCCCAAAATGGTCATGGGTTCGTGTTGAGGGGACGGCCGTCACCCCACGCTGCTCAAGGGAGTTCTATTCAGACCCCTGAGGATGTACCCCTAAACCCTAAACCCTAAACCCTAAACCCTAAACCCTAAACCCTAAACCCTAAACCCTAAACCCTAAACCCTAAACCCTAAACCCTAAACCCTAAACCCTAAACCCTAAACCCTAAACCCTAAACCCTAAACCCTAAACCCAAACCCCGAAGAGATTCCCTTAATAATTATACTCCTATTTTCGCCCTCCTTTAGAGGATCTTCAAAGCGGTCCAAAAACCCCAAGGGTACAACCTTAGGGATTCGAAGCCTAGTCCCCTGAGCCCTAAACCCTAAACCCTAAACCCTAAACCCTAAACCCCAAACCCTAAACCGTACAAGCTTCGGGGTTCGAGGTAGAGTCCCATGAGCTGCACCAGGCAGGCCTGGCGTTGCTTGTGCTCGCGCTGCTCCTGGCTGCGACCCTGCTTCTGACGGCCCAGGGCTCACAAAGTGCCTGGCTTAGTGCTGACAAGGCCAAGGCAAGCTAGAAGGGTTTAGGGTTTAGGGTTTAGGGTTTAGGGTTTAGGGTTTAGGGGAGCATGCTTCCAGTAAAGCAGGGTCTCTTTTATTTTTCTGTGGCCAAGACCACCTTTTGCAGGGGCCCTTTTGAATTATAAGTCTAATAGCTTGATCCATGAGCCTAGTATAGAAGCGGGGGGCGTCCCTGCTTGTTTGTAAACCTCCCGAAATCGCTGCTCGCTTGACGGAGACAAAGCTACAGGCAGTGTCCCAAAGAACGGATGTGCCAAAGCTGCGCTATGCCTGGAGCCTTGTATGATAGCTGTCTCCGAGCCATAGAAAACGGAGCGATTCAGTGGGCAAAGGTCATGCTAAACCTAAGATTCCAATCGCCTCAGCCCTCGAACCCATTTTGATCGTACAGGGGTTACTACCAGATGGTAGGCACACCAGCCCCCTAGGAGCTTCATGGGTGAGTTAGAAGTAGGGTTAGATGTAGCGGAGTTAGCGCTGAGAATCGTTGGCTGTAAACTTATGTTTTAGGGCTCTTATATGACCATTCAACCCTAAACCCTAAACCCTTAACCTTCATAAAGCACCTACGGACCTTCGAGTAGCTTTGCCTTCCGGTTCATGGTCTAGGTTGCCACTCGGATCCCATTGGGTAGCAGTCCCCAACAGCCCTGGGTTTTGAATGTTTAAGGTTTAGGGTTTTCTGGCTTAGGGTGTTTAGGGTTTAAGGTTTAGGGTTTAGGGATTAAGGCTCAGGGTTTAGGGTGCTGACCTGGCTGTGGCCCCCCCCCCCCCCCCCTTGTGCACCATATTTGATTTGCTATATTTCCTTTCAGAAGCCCCTAAACCCAAACCTCAGACCCCTAACCCTCTATAAACCGTATAAATGCGGATCCCTGGACAATGGTCTTGATTGTTTGAGTGAATGAGAGAGTCCTCAGTTCGCCCGGTTCGTAGCTTCTTTTCGGATGCTCAGGGACATCGTAGCTGCCCTAGTGCCGCTAGCCGGGTCGGTGAGCTATACATCACCACGCCTAGCTGAGCTCATCTTGCTCGTGCTCATATCCTTTTCAGTGGGGTTCTGCTGTGGAGGAGTGGTGGTGTGCTTTCTGGTATCAGCTCAGTGCCGGACCTGTGTGAGTCGACTACTGCTGGCATTCCTGGAAGGGCACTTTCCAGAGCCCCGCGTGGCCCCGAGAGGGCGCGATCGGCTGCAAGCTTACCGTGCATGAGCGACACGGACTCCACCTTGAGGATTCAGAGGGAGTGGAATCGCTGGAACTGGCGGTTGCATCACGCTCTCCTCCTCTTCATCTTGTTCAGCGAAGTCGCTTTTCTGTCGTGGCCTACAGGCTGTGACCGGAAGATTGCCCGGTCGCCTTGGACAACGGCTACCAGAGCGCCAAGCGGTCCTTCCCCATCGCCTCGAACTTTGCCAAGGACTCCAAAGGTTGCCACTCACCCTCGAAACGGGGCGGGGCCTCTAGTCTCTTCCTTCACCCCGTCGAGACCTAAGCACACCTGTGGGGGGCGACATGCCGCTTTCCGAACGTGGAGTTCTGAACCTGAAGGTGGTGAACGCCGAGGATGGGGTGGACCTGCTCTGTCTCAAATGGCCAGCCGGGGCTGGCAGTCGCTGGTACCTGGCGATTCCTTTGCGAACGTGCTCTGTTGGAATCATCCTGGCCCTGCCCAGCAAGACCCTCAGCGCCGAGATCCTCGAGGAGGCGGAGGACGCTGGTGGAGATGGCCTGGTGGGGCCGAGCCAAGTGGTGACGGTGGGGGTCCACGAGACAGCCGTCGATGGCGAGCTGCTGGAGGTGCAGATGGTGGAGTTTGGCATGGGCATCCATCGACAACTGGAGAAAAGAACTCCCCGATCCCGTCGAGCCATTGTGGGGTTCGCAGAGGATGTTTCCTCTCTCCCGAATCTGAGCGAGCTGAACATCTTGGTGGAAAGCTGGCTGGACGGCGGCGACTTGAGACTCGAGGAGTACTGGACTGCTGCCGAGGAACCAGTGGCCGAGGTCGCGGCGCCGACATCCAACGACGCCGTGCTGCAGCACCTCCAGGACTTGAAGGACTCGCTGGACCAGAGGTTTGTGGGCATCGAAGCCGCAGTGCGGAAGTTGGAGACAAAGCAGCCGGCAGCCCGGGAATTGCAGTCCAGGGCGCCATTAGACGGCTTCGGGCAAAGGAGCGCCAGCTCAGGAGAGCCCAACGTGGAATCCATCTTGGCCCAAGCCAGAACGCATGTGAAGCGGCCGCCCCGGCGAACGCTCGACGAACCCGAGCGAGGAGGGGAGACTGCAGTGGACGTGGACCGGATGGCTCAACATGGTTCCGAAGCCCCTTCAGTCGACGAGATGATGAAGCTGGCGCTAGTTCGCCTGCTGGAAGATCGGTCCGGCAAAACCAAGAAGAAGGCCAAGAAACTTCCGGGCCTAGAGTCTTGGGAGGAGAGCGAAAGCAGCGGCGAAGAGGCTTCAAGTTGGAGCGCGAGTTCAAAAGGCGGCCGGGGCATAGCTGCGGTGGAACGCCTTTGGGGCGCGATGCGGAACCATCCGGAAGCCTATCAGGAACGGATGGAGCAGAGAATGCTCAAAGCTGTGGAGGCGACCGAGATGACGCCCAACATCCCGCTCCTCTACGCAAAGTCTGTTCCGGTAGGGAAGTCACGAACAGCTGGCTACTGCCTCCAGGGCTTTGCTCAGGTCCACCGCCTTCTGCTGGAGAACAAGCCGAAGCAAGCTCGACTGCAAGTTCTTCGAATGGAGGCTGCGCTGGAGCAGTTCCTGATCGACGAGTCTTGGGTGGTGGCCGGCAGGCTGACAGGAATGGAAGAGCCTCCATGGGGTCACTGGGCTACTCAGGACGTGAGCGCTCTCAGGAAGCAGTACGTCTACACGCGGCTAGCCGAAAGCACATGGGTGGCCGCTCTCATCAACGAGCTGAAGGAAGAAGAATGGCTGGTCAAGAAGCGCGCTGCACTCGGCAAGCCGAAGGGCAAAGGCGAGGGCAAGGACGCGGGCGGAAAGGAGACCGGCGCCTGAGGGAGCATCGCTTTCTCCGCTATCAGGTCAAGAACGAGTCTGGGAGAGGTTGTCCGCCAAGCCCCCTGGATGGCGTCTTTGAGATGTGCGAGTCCCTCAAACTTTTGGATCTGCCACTTGCCAAGTATTTAAGGAGTACTTTTTCCCCAAAGAAAGGGTCCTCGAAAGCCCCGGAAAAGTTAACCGAACTTTTCCCCTGTCCTCCTCCTTACCCCTGGGACGTTGAGAAGCCTCAAGGCCCGCAGACAAAGAAAGCGTTGGAAAGTTCGTAGGGCGGTTGAGCTTTGGGTTAACCTAATGGTTTGTGCCTTGAGTCACGAAGCCCTGGGAACTGATGTTGCGCCTCTGCGAGGGAGAAGAGAGTTCTCGCTTAATCCTGGACAAGCCAAGATGTGTAGCTTTTTGAGAACTCTTGCTGTGTCAGTGGTCCGCCTGGCGAGTGATACTCCTGGAAGCGGACTGCGTCTGCCCGCGACTGCTGGTCGACTGAACCAGTTGCGAGAGCAATTAGGAGAATTGGGACATGTTCCTTATGCTGGGTCGGGTCGTAGGTTTGATGGGGTTAGACGGGAGAGGGCTTTTACTGCTACTCAAGCTTTGCCAGTGGTGTCCTCTCGCCTCAGTCTGCCTGAACATGTGCAGAACTTCGATCCGACGCCTTACCTTTCCCCAACTTTCCGCCATGTTTACGAGAGTCCTGGAGATTTTCTGAAAGCCGAAGAGGAGATGCCGCCGCCCATTCGGGTCCGAGGCACTGCGTCACGTCAGGAGTTGCTCAAAGTATTTGAAAGGTGGGATAAGTTGGGAAGGTTGTACATATGCCATGAAAAAGAAGTGTCTCCCCTAGACAGGTGTGAAATTTTCGCCGTTGCCAAGGATGTTGATCGGGATAGGCAGATTTTGCATCGTAAGCGTCGAAACATGCGGGAGAGACACTTGGTAGGGGCTTCAAAAGACCTGCCACATGGGGTGCTCCTTTGTCAGCTTCCTCTTGAAGATAAGTACGTGTGTGTTTGTTCGGTTGACGATGTCAAGGACTTTTACCATGCTTATAGTGCGAGCACCGAACGGGCCAAGAGCTCCCCCGTAGGGCCGAGCTTTCGTGCTTCTGAAGTTGCCCACCTTGGGGCGTTTAAAGATGCGATCCGAGAGGGCCGCCTGCATGTAATGTCGAGAGTCGCTTGCTGTTTCCGGGGCCTAGGAATGGGCGACCATGCTGCGGTCGACATCGCACAAGAATCTCATACCAACTTACTTAAAGCCTATGGTGGTTTGGTTGAAGGTGAGGTGTTGCGGTATAGAAACCCTTTGCCGGACCCCCCTAGCAAGTTCTACGAGGGAATCATGATCGACGACCACCTAGGCATTCAGCTGTTGGAACGAAGAAGCTCGTTGCGGGCAACTTTGGACCAGGCGGGCAGGGACGAGGAAGCTTTTGCGTCCGCGGAGCAGGCGTACGCAGAGGCCAACCTGGAATCGCATCCCAAGAAGAGGCAAAGAAGGGTGCTCAACGCGAAGGTGTGGGGCATTGAAATTGAGGGGCTCCGCGGCTTGGTGGGGCCCGTTCGAAGTAGACTACTGGCATTGGCAACGCTGACAGCCAGAGCAGCGGCGCCGGGGCCGGTGGACCAGCAAGTCCTGGAGGGACTTTGCGGGCTATGGAGCTTCAGTGCTCAGTTCCGTAGGCCTATGTTTAGCTTCATGTATGCGATGTACCATCAGCAAGGGCCGGGGCGAGCCGATGAGCCGTTCCGTTTGACACGTGAGGCCCGACATGAATTAAGTCTTTTGGCCTGCTTGGCCCCCCTGTGCTTGACGGATCTAAGAGCTATTCCCGATGATTTTCTGTACTGCGTTGATGCTTCGCCTTCTGGGGCTGGGGTTTGTAGGACTAAAGTGGGCCGGGTTGCTTCTAGAGAGTTTTGGCGTAGAGGGGACAAGTTGGGGTACAGGATGCCACTGCTTTCCAAGCTTTCAGCGTCTCTCATAGGGAGTGGCTGGGGCGAGGAGGCCGTGGAATCAATGTTGCATGCGTCTGAGCCAGAAAGCTGGGACCCTGAAGAGGATGGAGAGACTCCTCACTCTGCTGTGACCGCTCTAGTTGAGGGGTTTCTACGGAGGGCGCTTCGTGGAGGTGGTAGTCACTTCCCTGTGCCAACTCCGCTTGCAGATGCCCCGTTTGACTTCCTGGAGGTCTACGCAGGGAAAGGAAACATGAGTAGGGCTTGGGCTCGTCGTGGGTTCAGGGTCTTACCTCCTTTAGACTTAAAACAGGGATGGGATTTGTTGGAGCAGGATTTGTTTTGGGGTATTCTTGGCTTAGTTCGGGGGGGGAAGATCAGGTTCCTTTGGTGGGCCCCGCCGCGTACCACGTTCTCGTTAGCCCGCGCCCCCAAGCTCCGTAGTTCGACTCAACCGTGGGGTTTCCAGTTGCTGGACAGGGCTACTCAGATAGGCAACTTACATGCTGCCCAGTCTTTCATGCTTGCTCTGGGTCAGGTTGAGGCGGGCCAAGGATTTGTGGGTGAGCAACGGGCTTTCGGGGTTATGCGACTCCTGGAACCTTGGACGTTCCTTTTGAGTAGAGGTGCCTTTGAGGTTGTGTTTGATTGGTGTCGGTTTGGCGCTAGCTATACTAAGACCACGCGCTTGTTGAGTAACGTTCTGGTGCTCAAAGAGCTGGGCTTGAGGTGCCATCACAAAAGCAGACATGATACCCGCAACGGCCGTTTCACTACTAAAGCAGGGGAGTACTGCCCTCGTTTTTGCAACAGGGTTGCTTCTTTGGTTCAAGGGGTTTGGGATTCGAGTTGGGGGGTCAGGAGTTCGCTTTCGACGTTAGTGGTGCAGGATTCCAAGGCCTTTGAGGAGTTAGGTTGGGTAGGAGAAGACTTCGATGAGGCCCGGAAAACCCGTCTCCTTAAAGGCCGCCGCAAACAAAGTTCCTCCTTATGGGCTGTGCAACTTTCGGAGTCCCTGCAATGGCATACTTTCATGCAGTACAAGTTTAAAACTGTTCAGCACATCAATCTTCAAGAAGCCAAAGCCCGTAGATCCTTGGTTCAACGACTTCCGCGAGATAGAAGGGTTGTGATCGCTCAGGATAGCAGGGTGAATTTGGGGGCTTTGGGCAAAGGCCGCAGTCCCTCTGAAAGCCTCAATGCCATCATGCGGTCCGAGGCCCCGTATGTGCTTGCTAAGAACTTGTACATTGCCGGCTTACACTTGCCCACTTGGTCCATTCGCGCGGACGCGCCAAGTCGAGGCTCACGAGTCCTCCAGCCTAGGATTCCCTGTCCATCATGGTGGTGGGCGCTCAGAGCCAATGCCCACGGGGTTGGTGACATCCTTGACGGGTTGGAAGGACTGCCACGTGCGTATAACCGCTGGTGTTTTCTGATTGGGGCCGCCCTCCTGCGAGCTTCGTCTGATGACCAAGCGCCGCACGGTGACTCGCGATCGGACCCTGTTGGAGCGCGGGCGCATCACGGAGCGCACGCGTCAGATCCGATTGGACTTACTGCAGCGATTGGAGACGTGGCTGCTTACCAAAGGCCCGGGGGAGACGTTGGAGGACATGGCTCGGCACCACATCGCTGTTTTGTCAGAGTGGCTCGAGGAGTATATGATCGACTTGTTCGTGAACAAGCACAGCAGGCGGGATGCTGCGGAGACCTTGAACGCAGTGGGCCAAAAGTATGGCTGGCTGAAATCCTCGCTTGCCAGTGCTTGGAGTCTGGTTCGCACATGGGAGGGCTTGGAGCCATCAGAACACCATCCGCCTCTTCCCGTACAAGTGCTACGTGCTCTTGCAACTACTGCGTTGGCTTGGAGCTGGCCCAGAGTTGCGGTCCTCTTGGTGCTTGGCTTTTTTGGTTTGTTGAGACCATCCGAAGCCATTGGGCTGCGACGTCAGGACGTATCGCTCCCCTCCGACCACTTCGAAAGGGATGTGCTGTTCATTCGGGTGGGTTCTCCGAAGACTCGTCACCGGGGCGCTCGCAGTCAGCACGTTCGAGTGGACGAGCCGGGAGTGGCAGCCTGGGTGGACTCGCTGGTGGGTCAGATGCCGCTGTGGAGGCGGCTCTGGTCAGGTTCCTGGGCGGCATTCAGGCGACGCTTTGAGCTGCTGCAGCTGGAGGTGCTGGGAGCACGTTTCTTTTTGCCGTCTTCTTTGAGACCTGGGGGTGCCACCTTCCTCTTTCGATTGTGGGACGAGAATCTCACGAGAGTACAATGGCGAGGGCGCTGGCGGTCATTTCGCATGTTGGAAATCTTTGTGCAGGAATTGGGCGCAGCTGCGGTTCTGATTCGCTTTACCCCTAAAGTCCGGCAAAGGGTTGTGGTTTTAGGCTCTTTCTTTTTGCAAATTCTTGATGCATGTCGACCCTTGGCGGGAGTGCCGACTGCTTGCCCACCCGCCCCCCCGTGAAGGTCAGAGCGGGAACAAACGAAGTGTTTGAAGTCTTTAAGCTCAGGTTTGCCAAACGAGGCAACTCTGAGCGATGCAGCCTAGGCTGCCTCTCGTTGTTTGAGTTGAGGACCAGGGCAAGTGGTGTGAAAAACTCTCCGGGCGAACGGTGCTTGCAGAGCTGGCAGAGGCTCGCGGTTGAGGCCAAACAATGGTCTTGATTGTTTGAGTGAATGAGAGAGTCCTCAGTTCGCCCGGTTCGTAGCTTCTTTTCGGCCGCCTCCTCCCCGCCACCACAAACGAAGTGTTTGAAGTCTTTAAGCTCAGGTTTGCCAAACGAGGCAACTCTGAGCGATGCAGCCTAGGCTGCCTCTCGTTGTTTGAGTTGAGGACCAGGGCAAGTGGTGTGAAAAACTCTCCGGGCGAACGGTGCTTGCAGAGCTGGCAGAGGCTCGCGGTTGAGGCCAAACAATGACAATGATTAACTTCTAGTTCCCTTAGGAAATTGGATGTGTAGAAACCCTAGCACCATGAAACCCGAAACGTACGCCCTAAAGCCCTGAAACCCTAGACCCCGACGCCCTAAACTCAAACCCCGAAACCCTATTGCCCGAAGCCCGAAACTTAAACCTTCTGCCCCCCCACCCCCCCGCCCCCCGAAACCCCAAACCCTTGGCACCCCCCTAAACCCCAAACCCTAAAACCCTAGAACCCTAAAACCCTAAAACCCTAAAACCCTAAAACCCTAAAACCCTAAAACCCCTAAACCCTAACCCCCTAAACGCCTAAAACCCTAACACCCTAAACCCCTAAACCCCTAAACCCCTAAACCCCTAAAACCCTAAAACCCTAAAACCCTAAGCCCCTGTCGCAGGGCCAAAAGCCTGCCGGCACAGAGGACGCCTGGAGCTCAGCCCTGCCTAAACCCTAAACCCTAAACCGCCCACTTCCATACTTCTGGCTTTGAGTTTGGGGTTCAGGCTTTGGGGCCCATTTGTGGTTAGGGTTTAGGGTTAAGGGTTTAGGGTTGAGGGTTTAGGGTTTAGGGTTTAGGGGGCATACGAACCCTACTCCCCGAACCTTCATTCCAAAACCTCAATTCCTACACCCCAAGCCCCGAAACCCCGAAACCCCAAACTCTCAAAACCCAAAACCCTCCAAACCCTCAAAACCCTCAAAACCCTCAAAACCCTCAAGACCCCAAATCCTAAACCCTCCCTTCCAAACCCTAAAACTCTCCAATCCCTAAACCCTAAACCCTCAAAACCCTCAAATCCCGCTCAACCCCAGGCCTGGCCCGCCCTGCGCGCGCTCCGCTCGCTTGGCCGCCTGGGCCAGCATCCGCCCTCCTCGGTGCTGGGACCTCGTTTTTTTTGTTTTTGTTGTTTAGGGTTTAGGGTTTAGGGTTTAGGGTTTAGGGTTTAGGGTTAAAAGGGTTTTTTTGGGTTGCTAAAGGGTGTCTTTAGGTTTTGTAGGGTGCCTCGTGTTTTCTGGGCTGCTTTTTTGTTGGCAGGATTTTGGCTAGGTTTTTGTTTTCCAGGTTTTTGAAGGATTTTTTTTTTTGGGGGGGGGGGTGTGCAGCTTAAATAGGGTCTATTTGGAAGCTGGGAATCGTATTTACAAGAGGAAAACAGGCCCCAAAACGTATACTTATTCACAAGAGCCATGTTCCAAATAGACCCTATTTTAGGTCCTGTAGGGTTGCACAGACAGAATTTAATTCATTAAATTCCTTAATTTCCACTTTCCCCCTGGAATTTAATGAATTTAATGAATTAATTCAATTAATTCATTTATTTCCAAAGGGGGGGTGGAATTAATTGAATTAGTTGAATTAATTGAATTAATTGAATTAATTGAACCCCCCCCTTTGGAAATAAATGAATTAATTGAATTAATTGAATTAATTGAATTAATTGAATTAATTGAAATAATTGAATTAATTGAATTAATTGAATTAATTGGAATTAATTCAATTAATTCAATTAATTCCACCTCCCCTTTGGAAATAAATGAATTAATTGAATTAATTGAATTAGTTGAATTATTTCGATTAATTCAATTAATTCAATTAATTCATTTATTTCCAAATGGGGGGGATTCCCCAGCCCCCACCCCTCCCCCCCCTTTGGAAATAAATGAATTGAATTGAATTAATTGAATTAATTGAATTAATTGAATTAATTGAATTAATTGAATTACTAATTGAATTAATTCAATTAATTCAATTAATTCAATTAATTCAATTAATTCAATTAATTCATTTATTTCCAAAGGGGGGGTGGAATTAATTGAATTAATTTAATTAATTGAATTAATTCAATGAATTCAATTAATTCATTTATTTCCAAATGGGGGGGATTCCCCAGACCCCACCCCCCCAGCTCGATTTGGCCAAATTTTGCCCGGAGGCTGCCCGGCAAAATTTGGCCAAATCGAGCCGCGCCTTTCTGGAGGCCCGAAATTATTTAAACTATCGCGGCTCGATTTGGCCAAATTTTGCCGGGAAGTCTGCGGGCAAAATTTGGCCAAATCGGGCTGCTCGTCGTACGCGCTGAGAAATGCGCGGCTCGATTTGGCCAAATTTTGCCGGGCAGCCTCCGGGCAAAATTTGGCCAAATCGAGCCGCGCATTTCTCATGGCATACGAAGAGCAGCCCGATTTGGCCAAATTTTGCCCCCAGGCTGCCCGGCAAAATTTGGCCAAATCGAGCCGCGATAGTTTAAATAATTTCGTTCAATTAGTTCATTCATTTCCAAATGGGGGGGATTCCCCAGCCCCCACCCCCCCCCCTTTGGAAATAAATGAATTAATTGAATTAATTGAATTAATTCAATTAATTCAATTAATTCAATTAATTCAATTAATTGATTTATTTCCAAAGGGGGGGTGGAATTAATTGAATTAATTGAATTAATTGAATTGATTCAATTAATTCAATTAATTCAATTAATTCAATTAATTCAATTAATTCAATTATTTCCAAATGGGGGGATTCCCCAGCCCCCACCCCTCCCCCCCCTTTGGAAATAAATGAATTAATTGAATTAATTGAATTAATTGAAATAATTGAATTAATTCAATTAATTCAATTAATTCCACCTCCCCTTTGGAAATAAATGAATTAATTGAATTAATTGAAATTCAATTAATTCAATTAATTCAATTAATTCAATTAATTCGTTTATTTCCAAAGGGGGGGGGGTGGGGGCTGGGGAATCCCCCCCATTTGGAAATAAATGAATTAATTGAACTAATTGAATTAATTGAAATAATTGAATTCATTCAATTAATTCAAATTGAATTCATTCAATTAATTCAATTAATTCCACCTCCCCTTTGGAAATAAATCAATTAATTGAATTAATTGAATTAATTGAATTAATTCAATTAATTCAATTAATTGAATTAATTCATTTATTTCCAAAGGGGGGGGGTGGGGGCTGGGGAATCCCCCCCATTTGGAAATAAATGAATTACTTGAATTAATTGAAATAATTGAATTAATTCAATTAATTAAATTAATTCCACCTCCCCTTTGGAAATAAATCAATTAATTGAATTAATTGAATTAATTCAATTATTTCAATTAATTCAATAATTCATTTATTTCCAAATGGGGGGTGGGGGCTGGGGCATCCTCCTCCCCCCAATACTAAACCACGAGCCCGGGCCTCCCCCCAATACTAAATCACGAGCCCGGGCCTCCCCCCAATACTAAATTACGAGCCCGGGCCTTCCCGCAATACTAAATCACGAGCCCGGGCCTCCCCCCAATACTAAATCACGAGCCCGGGCTAAATCACGAGCCCGGGCCTCCAAATTACGAGGCCGGGCCTCCCCCCAATACTAAATCACGAGCCCGGGCCTCCCCCCAATACTAAATCACGAGCCCGGGCCTCCCGCAATACTAAATCACGAGCCGGGCCTCCCCCCAATACTAATTTACGAGCCCGGGCCTCCTCCCAATACTAAATCACGAGCCCTCCTCCCCCCAATACTAGGGCACAGTTTTTGCTCCAAAAAGTGACATCGCAAGCCCTGGTCCCTAAGATTTTGAGCTCATTTCTTGCCCCAAAGAGTAACATCGCAAGCCCTGGTCCCTAAGATTTTGGGCTCATTTCTTGCCCCAAAGAGTAACATCGCAAGCCCTGGTCCCTATTATTTGGGGCCCAGTTTTTGCTCCAAAGAGTCAAATCGCAAGCCCTGGTCCCTAAGATTTTGGACTCAGTTTTTTGCTCCAAAGCAAGCCCTGGTCCTTAAGATTTTGGGCTCATTTCTTGCTCCGAAGAGTCAAATCGCAAGCCCTGGTCCCGAAGATTTCGGGTTCAATTTTTGCTCCACAGAGTCAAACCGCAAGCCCTGGTCCCTAAGATTTGGGGCACAGTTTTTGCTCCAAAGGGTCAAATCGCAAGCCCTGCTCCCTAAGATTTTGGGCTCATTTCTTGCCCAAAAGAGTGACATCGCAAGCCCTGGTCCCTAAGATCTTGGGCCCAGTTGCTCCAAAGAGTCAAATCGCAAGCCCTGGTCCCTAAGATTTTGGGCCCAGTTTTTGCTCCAAAGGGTCAAATCGCAAGCCCTGGTCCCTAAGATTTTGGGTTCAATCTTTGCTCCAAAGAGTAACATCGCAAGCCCTGGTCCCTAAGATTTGGGGCCCAGTTTTTGCTCCGAAGAGTCAAATCGCAAGCCCTGGTCCCTAAGATTTTGGGTTCAATTTTTGCTCCAAAGAGTGACATCGCAAGCTCTGGTCCCTAAGATTGGGGGCCCAGTTTTTGCTCCAAAGAGTGACATCGCAAGTCCTGGTCCCTAAGATTTTGGGTTCAATTTTTGCTCCAAAGAGTGACATCGCAAGCCCTGGTCCCTAAGATTTGGGGCCCAGTTTTTGCTCCAAAGAGTAACATCGCAAGCCCTGGTCCCTAAGATTTTGGGTTCATTTTTGCTCCAAAGAGTGACATCGCAAGCCCTGGTCCCTAAGATTTGGGGCCCAGTTTTTGCTCCAAAGAGTGACATCGCAAGTCCTGGTCCCTAAGATTTTGGGTTCAATTTTTGCTCCAAAGAGTGACATCGCAAGCCCTGGTCCTTAAGATTTTGGGTTCGTTTTTTGCTCCAAAGAGTGACATCGCAAGCCCTGGTCCCTAAGATTTGGGGCCCAGTTTTTGCTCCAAAGAGTCAAATCGCAAGCCCTGGTCCCTAAGATTTTGGGTTCATTTGTTGCTCCAAAGAGTGACATCGCAAGCCCTGGTCCCTAAGATCTTGGGCCCAGTTTTTGCCCCAAAGAGTCAAATCGCAAGCCCTGGTCCCTAAGATTTTGGGTTCAATTTTTGCTCCAAAGAGTCAAATCGCAGGCCCCCCTCCTCTCGCCCTATCGCCTCTGTTTTTTTTCCTTGTGCCCAAACGGAAAACGAAAACGGGTTCCTTTATATGTTCATTGTCCTTCCTTTTGTTTTTTTATTTCACAGGGA